GGTGGATAGATAGATAGATAGATAGATAGATAGATAGATAGATAGATAGATAGATAGATAGATAGATAGATAGATAGATAGATAGATAGATACACTAAAAACTCAAAAGAAATTTACTAGACGAAAATAAATGTTATAGCACAGGTAAGCAATAATACAATCCTAGGAAGCACATTACCTTTTGCAACGGTCCCAGAAGTTGAGCCGGTACTAGCACCGCTTCCGGCTTCAGCCTCGCACAGGATGATTGGGTTGCTGGCTGTGGGGCCGGGGCAGACACATTGACAGAACTCGTTGGGAAAACCCTCCCCGGGACACTGTGCGTCATCCAAGGCGCACGAGGCTAAATTAGGTCAATGGAAAATATTGGTTACTATTTTTTAAAAATTATACGTTCAGGATCGAGAGCAACAGATTACAGCAACAATGATAATAATAGTTCGTCTGTCAATGTCAGACGATGACCAAGGTATGTACATAGGAGAATAGAAATTTTTCTTAGAGAGTAATGGAGGAAATCAGGATTAAGAATGAACCATGTAGCATGTTGGGAAGCAAGGGAAGTTAAGAGCGCTGAGGCACTTCAAAACGGGTTTTCCCAACCTGAGGCATCGAGTTATAAATCAAGCCTTCAAAAATCTTATTTCAAAGGAGGGGGATAGCACGTGGAGCTACGGGAGAGATCCGCAACAACCGGCGTAGAAAAATGAAGCAAGACGCCAGAACAGAGTCCAAATAATTTCGACTCTATTTTTTTCCTCTAGAAGACAATATGACTATCGGTGATTCTGCGTTCTGTTTCAGACAGTTGACTGGTGTTTGGCTTCTGCTATTGACAATGAGACCAGTTCTAGCAAAGAAGAGATTTCCCTTATTTTGAGCATTAAAAAAAGAACAAAAACGACAAGATCAATACGCGATGTTAAATATGATGTAATAGAGTAGTGCACAGTCTTGGATCCCTTCTGATAAAACGCTTACGTGGTATCACAATATACACCAATAAAACTTGGACAGACGTTTTGAAAGATATGAATTTTTTGGATACGTTTGTTTTGAAAGCGGGTTGGGAGTTGTTTTGTTGTTGTTGTTGTTGTTGTTGTTTTTTGTTGCTACAGAAATTTAAAACATTAATGCATGTGCATCATACGTGTATCCTGACTAAGACATGTCAGACATGTTATGGAACTAGATCTACGTTTTATCATGTGCTACACCAAAGTTTCAGGTTATTCACTTACATGGTTTACAGTTCAACATCTTGTTGGCGATCTTGATGTCCCGGAAACTGAGGGACATCCTGTTGCCAATGACGCTTTGGTAGAGGGGGTCCAAGGTCTTGATGGTCGTCTCGCCGTTTTGAGAAAAAGCCTGGAACAGGAGACAGAAACTGTTTTACGTTTATGGGAATGTTTATCTGTATGGGGAAAAGGGGGCGACGTTATGAGTTTCGTTTTTACTTACATTCTTCTTTGCGATACGTCATTGTTTGTAACATTGGATTTTAGAAGGGACAAAGATCAGTGGGAAACAGAAAATAACATGCACGTGTGACCTGGAAAGCTTTATGGCAAACAAAAATAATTATTGGAAAAACTTAACTGAGCAGGAGGACTGACAATAAGAAGGAATGGGGTACAATGATGGTCAATGTCTACTCCAGACTTGGCATCTGAAGAAGAAGAAGAAGAAGAAGAAGAAGAAGAAGAAGAAGAAGAAGAAGAAGAATTTCGTCTATTCCCCTTTTTTTTCTTCTTACCTTAACAGAGTGATCAAATGAGTAGTGTAGCGTGTATGCTTCTCATCACCCAATAAGACATGTGTCATGCAACTGGACTGGTCGGTTGTGTTTATGAGGCCTAATGTTATTCATTTGGGACAAGAGTGAAGAAATGGTGTAGGGGACTTAATCGAGATAAAAAGATTCTTGACATAGACCAACTTGTCTGCTTATGCAGATGCGGCTGGAGAACCAAATCACGTCATACTATTGAATGCCCCGCGGCATTCGAGAAAACAGAAGTGATACAAATTTTATCAGGTTCAATAAGTAATATTACATCGACAAGTGTGGTCACACATACTTTAGTTCGAGAGACAACAAAATTCCCTGTAGGCTATAGAAAACCGGCAATCTCCTAAATCTTGTTCTGCCGCATAATAATATTTTGTTCTGAACACGCTCTGACGTTAACAGTTATCCCCCCTATCAGGAAATCCCATTTGTAAAGGTACGTGTTGATCATACACATTTGAGCCCCCGTACTACACGTATCTGATAAAGAAAATGGCGAAAGGTAAATAGCAACAGCAACAAAATCAACAACATGATAATAATTATCATCAACAACAACTACAACAACAACAACAACAACAACAACAACAACAACAACAACACTACCCACAATACCCACAATACCAACAGCAACAACAACAGCAAACTTGGGTTGCTGTTGCTGAATAGTTGGATTACAAAACAGGCTGTGTACGAAAGTGGAAGAGAATTATGTATACAATTGAAACTGTTCAAGACAGCCACCCATGGTGAGGTTTGTCTTAGACAGGAGGGCGTCTCCTCATGTATCATTATAATGTAGAAAAAGCGAGAGGGGGTGGTTGGCAGGTGCTCTGGTGTGGTTTTCTTCTTTTTTCCTGTCAAAAATCTGTCTTCCTTATCTCCCCTACTTCTTCTTCTTCTTTTTTTTAGTTTGTTACTCTCTAGTAACACCTCTATTCTTCGCTCTGCATATGAGACCTCATTGTGTCTTAACTGCCGTAAAGGTCTTTCTAAAACTAAACAGAAAAGCGCTATAGAGGAAGTAGAGAGAGGACGTTGGTACAGGTGATTGTCTTGGACAGGTGACAGTTAGAGCAGGTTTGACTGTACAAAGAGTAAGAGGCCTTGGGCAGGTTGGACTGTACAAAGAGTAAGAGAGAAAAGATGGACGCACTGTGCTCCCGTAGTGCATGATGCTACGGTAGTCGTAGGGCACGCCGAAACTGTCGATCACACCCCAGTTGTACTTGTGGAAGTTGTACTCCATCTCGTCTGATGGTGATGATGATAATGAAAACGATATAATCATAATAATAATAATAATAATAATAATAATAATAATAATAATAATAATAATAATGATAATAATAATAATAATAATAATAATAATAATAATGATGATGATGATGATGAGTATGACGATAATGATGATGATGATAATAATACTACTACTACTACTACTACTACTACTACTACTACTACTACTACTACTACTACTACTACTACTACTACTAGATTTTCTACTACTACTACTACTACTACTACTACTACTACTACTACTACTACTACTACTACTACTACTACTACTACTACTACTACTACTACTACAGCATGTATAACCATTACTCCACAGATGCATGATCGGTTTTTGTGATAGTAATTTGCACTTGCGACACATTGTGAAAAAACAGTGCTTTTTCACGGAGAAAAGACTAGGTCTTAATCACGAGTACAAACGGTTATTTTTACATTTGCAAAAACTTAGAGTGCTCACTAACATTTTTGGACGGCTAAAATATGCTTCTGTTTTTCAATTCTGATACGCTGTTATCAAATTAGGTTTTACAGGCATCTCAGGTGTAATGGTTGGGCGTGTCACCGTCGCATGCAAGAGACACGAGTTCGATTCCCGTGTTGGTAGAATTATTTTAAAAATTGAAGAATTGCATGTACTTAAACAAAACTAAGCAGATTCCATGTTCGGCTTCCATCGGGAATTCAAAAGTTTATTATGCTCTCCTTTGCAAAGAATCTTTTCCATTTTATCTTAGAGCGGTACAATACAAAGAGGTTATAAATAAAACCTCTTGGGGTACAATAATAGATTGCAAAGTGCACTGAGCTTGCTGTTAGGCGGGAATTTGCGCTTTAAAGATGCTATCTATTATTGCTATAATTAATACAGGGATCACAGTCTCCCACTACTGACCTTCGATGTTTTGGTAAAGTATGGACACGTAGTCGTCTCTGTCGGGCCTGGTCTGCTCGTGGTGGAAACCCAGCACATGACCCAGCTCGTGAAGAACGATGCCTTTCTGAAGGAGGGAAATGGACATGCGAAAGCACTTGCACTCTTTTATCCTCTGTTCGTTCAGCTAACCTAACATAGTATAATACTAGCACATCTGACTCTCTCCTCCTTTTTTTTTTTTTTTTTGCTTTACTTACCAGTAAAACAGATAATCTTAGGCATTTATATTACCTAGTTATGTTGCAAGTGCCGTAAAACGTGTGCTAAAACTAACCAACCAACCAACCAAACAAACAAACAAAGAAACCCAAACAACTACAACTTTATAAACATTCATAATTGTTTTCAACTTACGTAAAGACAGCCTTCTGCAAGAACAACTTCGTGTCTGTTGGGAACCATCCCCACATATGCAGCACATCTGATATGTATGCAGGTAGAGGTAGGGAAGCGTGGGGAGGGGTGGGGAGGGATGGGGAGGGATGGGCAGGGATCGTCAGTACTGGTTATTATTTTGGGGTTATAATGAATTCAGGGGCGAAGGCTGACTTGTTTGACAGGGTAATCAAAGTGAAACGGGACCAGATATGGCCTGTAGATATCACACAAGAATCTTAC